CTGTGTTCTCTGTTCATTTCTAAGGGGCAGTCCTGAAGAGATCAATGTACAGTGTACACGAAACACTGTAAGCAATGACATTTCCAGCATCACAAACAACAGGTGCTAGAAATAAAAGGCTCTTCACTTTTTATTATCCAATAAAACATAATTACATGAAGAGATGGATTATTTATCAAGGATTCCAGTGGACCACACACCTCCAGAAATGACTGGCTCCTTTCACTAGCTGGATCTTACGGTACATTGCTGAGCCTCGTGTAACAGAGATAAGCAGCTTGTGCATGACACAAGCAGTACTCACTCCTGACAGCCTTCTGACTGGCTTTTTCAAGAGTACAAGCAGAAGGCCAAGAAGACTCTTATATTTCCAAGTCAGACTCTGGCGTGAGGATGGATCACCCTCCCGATGCCTTGACAAGTCTGTTTGTTCTTAAAAAGAATGAACAGAACCGAGCAACTTCTATTCAATCTGTCCATGAAAATATGAAACCCAGTATAATTCCCTTGGTATATAACAGCAACAAGAATAAGAAAACCATTAACACTTTACAAGAAGTCCTAAAATTGATTATAAGTTAGTTTATTAGACATGAAATAAAGTATATCATTCACACACCCAAATAATTGTCTGTGAATGTACAATTAATATTGATGGGAGATTTGCTTTAAAAAACACTCAAAGTGTCATAAGCACTTTCTACGTCACACAAGCTCCAGCACAAATTCAGAAGTTTATTATATACTCTCTCAAACATGATTGAATTCAAATTATCAATTATTTAAGTGACAAAAGAAATTTATTAACTCCCATTTTAAAGTCATTTACTTTCCAATCAACACCTTCAAATGTGACTGACGAGCCTCCAGGCCGCCTTGGAAGACAGTGATCTGTTTTGATACTGAAGTTTATTAAAGCTGTGCCCCACTACTGAGATTGTGTAGATAATTTATTCTAAGCACAATCCAACTGACAGGTTTATCTTCTATAACTCTGGTAATTTCCCTCATTCACATAGTCTTTTGTCCTTTTACTATGATCTGCAAATTAGTAATTAAAAATGTATTAAACATTTTTGAAAGGATTAATGCTCTGCAATAACAGTGGAGATAATGCTCCATTTCTCTAAAAGAAATACATATTACATCAGACTTTGTGCTCTGAGAAAACAACAATTACTGTGGCTTTCTTTCAATATAAAGGATTTGTAAGATACTGTATATCGAATTATCTTTGCAAATGAGATATTGGACACTAGTTATGATCAATCACAAATACAATAAATGCTTATTTTCCCAATTTGTATTTCATTTTATTATTCAAAATATGCCACTTTACCGGGAAAAACTGTCTTTTTAAGAAACTAGTGCATTTTCCTAACGCAAGGGTTGGCTTCGGATATATTGGTAAGGTCTGTTAGAAACAGATTCATTCCTGCGAAAGCAAAGCTAAAACAGGTGAAGTCGTTGCAATGTATAACAACGGTCAGATCGCAAAAAGACGCACTCGATGATAAGGGACGTCAGAAACAGACGCCAGGTCACAAGCACGACAGGGGTAAGCCTGGATCGACGACAAGAGAGGGAGATGGATGTTCTGCTGGACAGATACGGCTTTTCTGATGAGACGGCATGGAAAGAAATGGTGCGACAGAAGAACAACAAACTGAAGCAGAAATGAGCTCACCCTGCGGAGCGTAGTGCTCTGTCTCACACAGCAGCTCGCGTTTGCTCTCATTTGTGCTGTTGGGCGTTTCACTAGAACCACCTGACGCGTCTTGCTCTAGGTTTCGAAACACGCAAGTCCTTCTTAGCAAGATTAGTTCTTAAAATAATCACCGGAACATTAACATTTATGATATACAGATAATTTCACTCTAAAATGTACATGCATTCATGTTTATATATTTATATTTCATCTGTTTTCTGTGTATATTTATGTTTTTAGTAGCAACTCCCAACCACATGCTAGCACACCCGAGCATTGTACACGCACTGAATTTCTTAATGGTGCCTTTGCATGAATGTGGAAAACAAACTGAAATAATCTCACTGTGAATCTGCCAGCTTTTCTTTTCCTGTAAGTAAAATGGTGCAAAAATAAAGTCTTTACCCCCAGAATGCAATCGTTCTGTGTCTCCATGTCCTGTTAAAGCAGAGTTTCTTTTATAGAGTACCGGGAACGCTGCCTCACAAACCACAGCATATCAATAAGACCCCATCAGCTTCCCGACCACAAACAACAGGTCTAGGGGCCTCGTGTTGAAAAGACTCGTCTCCATTGGCGTGAAATCAATGTCTCTCACCCCGTCTGACACTCCCAGCCCAGGAGAGGGGTGGGGGTGAACGACGCTAGCTGTTCCTGCTGCCGACGGGGTCTGGACTCTGGAAACACTGTGCTTTTCCACACCTGAACGTCTCCTCTCCCGGCTTTCGATACGGTGCTGCCGCAGGGCGTTGTAGACGCTATGCGCCCGGGCCCTCACCCCTGGGGCTGGGCACTGCGCACAGGTGTTCGAGGAGGATACACAGAAATCAAAAGCCGAGTCCAGACACCACCCTCAAGCGGCAGCAGGCCCACAGGAAGAACAGCATATTGAAGGGGGTGTTCCTGTGGGGACTCCCAGACGCAGTAGGGTTACCGATTGTGTCCTGGTCAGGTTTCTACTGTGTTGTCGGAATCTTCCTGGTCTTCCTGAATGAGTCGCCGAACACAACGAAGCTACTAATTTCCTCGCAATATGTAAAAAAAAAAAAATTGCACGGGATATAAATTGCGACCCCAATCAAAAATTATTCTGCAGCTTTAATAGCTTTTTTTCATTCCTTTAAAGGGGAACAGCAGCTGCTGTATTGCTACACACCTCAAGTATAAATTTGAACATTCACGCTCAGGTGATCAGTTCTCAGAAAGTTGAAATATCTATCTTCTGTACCTTCTAAGAATACCACAAAGTTATTTATCATTCTACCACACTTGCAATTTTAGTGATGTTTCTAAAACAAAGCTGCTTTGTCTTTGGAAACGAGTAGAATAATCAGCTATCTATCTGTAAAGCTAGCACTCTCTTATAGTTCTGGACTTGTCTATCTGCAGTAAACACTATGTCTTCTGTACCTAGACATTGTTGTGTTTCCTTTCTTCACTTTTCAGCAGGGAATGAACCTATTACTTGTTCCATCTAGAGATGAAGTCTAGTGGTTTCGTTTTGTTTTTTTTTTTGTTTTTTTTTTACAGGGTTGGTTCTTGTATTTGATAATTGTTTGTCTAAATGTTTTTTGTATACTTCTTGCATGTCTGTCTAATCTGATCTACAGTATCGGGCCCCCAGTCATTCAGAGCACTCAGGTACACTTGGTCATGTGATGTCAGCTGTGGTCCCCCCGTCATTTCTACAGTCAGAGACAGGATGGAGAGGATAAACACTTATAGTAGGTTGCATTTAGGAAGGTGGTAACTCCGGTTTTGTGGTCTTTTAGCGGAGTCTGTCTACAGGCACGTACTGTATGTCTGGACCCAGGTGCTGCTTCTCCAGCCGTGTAATTCCTGCCCCACGGAAGCAGGACCTGTTCCTTTCATGTGGAAGCCATCCTCTGTGACCGCAGGCACATCCCACAGCACAGCAAGAGCCTTCTGCTCCGTCCACACGGACAGCACGAGTGCTGCTGGCTACCGCAAGTAACTCTCACATTTGGGAAAAAAACCGTGTATTTCAGAGCTGTGCTTCCCATCGGTGAACTGAGCAATCTGTTCTGAACGGCACTGCATTCTAACATCAGGACGATACTTCCATTATCTTTCTTCCAACTCTACTTACAACCCTCACACATAGAGGGTTTTTGTTTTCAGTTTTTCAGTCGTATTCCTTTTGAAGTGATAACATCAGCCTTGAATGTTACGTGCTTAAAGACTGTATTCACAGCGCTGTGTTAATCACAAGCGTCTTTATTGCTTGACTATTAAAACTTAATGCTCAGCTCAGAGTGAATGCATGGTTTCTATGGCATATAAATCAATAAGTATTATCAAATTTACAGCACTGCTAACAAATCAATAAAAATAAGTCTACAAGCAGCTTTTGTCAGTATTGCCCTTTGGAGCAGCATATTTTTATTCAGCTTCACAGAGTAGATTAAACATTGAGATGAACTGAAATCATGCTAGCTGTACATGTTTATAGTTTTCAAGTCATTTTCACTTTTTTTAAAGTCTGCACAAAGATTAAAAAATTGAGCTCATTTTGTCAAGAGATAAACATTATCAGTCTCAATGGCACGATACAGTCTGATGATAAAAGCCAGAAATTGGAAATCGTACTCAAAATGGGAGTTATCTGCTGTATGTCTGAGCTGTTGTTTCTAACATAGATTCTGTTTTTTGCTGGATCCTCAGGGAAAAACATGCAATCATTCACAGTAATTCATAATGAATTAAGAATACAATAAAAAAAACATTCCGTAAACATCTGGAAAACCATCCTTCTTTCATTTTTCATTTACATGAAAAACATCCAAAGCCATTAGTCACATTTTGTCATCACAGTTCTGTAAAGAAAACTGTGAAAGGAAGAGGAATGCGAAGACTTTGACCTGAAACAAACACACTCTTTCACGTCTACAAACCTTAACCAATGCGTTGACCACTGCAATAGTGCAGTCCAATAAATATGGCCTTTCTAATACTCTAGTATATGCAGGTGAGCCAGCAGGGAGCCACTTGTCCTGTGATGTTTCCAAAACTTGCCGAGACACAAGGCGGCTCTAATGTGCCGTAATCTTCCTGAGAAAAGCTGCGTCTTACTCAGCATCGTGTGCAAAAACCATAATCAAATGCCAAGGAAAACAAAACAATGAAAGAAATCAGGAATCAAGGAAGAACGCTTCAATTTTATCATCGGCACAGAGAGAGAGAGAGACTCCAAATTGAAATAAACAGGTTTATTAAATTAGCATTCCCACGAAGCGTGCAGAGGCTGATAAATGAGCAGTACTGTACGTACCTAATGCTGCTCATGCTGCCGGTCTCAGAGCCGAGCTTGCATCGCTCCAGTTGGCTGGCAACAATCTGTCGCTCTGCTTCCAGCTCCCGCGTCAGTCTCTCAAACTGCAGCTCCTGCGGAACAGGCACAGAGTCAGCCCCACGCCGCGCTCTCACCTGAGCCAGGACGCCCTCACGGCTCGTCCTTCTGGGCAAGCGAAAACGGACAAGAAAACGACCCCCATCGTCGCCGAACAGCGGAAGTACCGCACTATAAAGTTCTCGAGCTTCTGGGAGTTACAGTGCGAAAGATGTCATGATGGTTTTGGCTCCTGGAACACTGTGCCAGACTGTGCAGAGCTATCTGTTACATTTATAATAAAACACAGACATATTTACTGTCAAGAATTAGCATGACCGCTAAAAAAGGAGTATACAGCATATTCAGAATAACAGTACTATTATAATGAATGGGAGGACAGTTTCTGTGATTCAGAATCATCATAATAATTCCTTTGAAATGACATAGTGCTATTTTTTCCAAGGAGCCATACCAGCAATCCCATTCGATTGTACAACACTGAAACAAACTCCAAAAGATTCCGATCTTCATTTCACTTCAAGAAAACCAATGCAGTCAAAAGTGAACCCTTCTATTGCAGATGGTTATACGGTTCCTTCACAAAGATCTGGAAAGATTGGTTGAGTGCAGTGCTACGCATCTGTTTTTCACGAGTTACCCCGTCCCTTAAAGGACTCTTCGCGGCTACGATAAGGAAGCCGATGAATTGTCATTATTGGGTATCACTATCCCTAAATGTGAAAAACGTCCCTAAATGCAACAAAATCACGGCTTTTCAGCTGCGTGGAAATTTTTCGATCTCTCCTATATTAATGGGCATGATTTTTAACAAAAATGACTGCGCTGGCATCGTGTTAGGAAAACCTGTGATTATGCAACTGATGCTGCTGAACATCAACAGATTAAAAATATACAGCGATGTATAATCGACAGTTTCCAAAAACCAAATCGCCTCCCCACCATACAGCTCGTGCTGTTGAACCGCAGCTCCTCAAACCACTCTCTTGCCTCGCGCTGCTGTAGGGGTGTTTCCCTTGGCCAGCACACAGCACCCCAGAGCAGCCCTGACCAAGCTGACCAAACTCTCTGTTTTGCCCGATACGCAGTGTGGCTTGTCACCTGTTGGCTCCATTGCAAGGGCGTGCTGTGGGACACAGCTCTCCAAATTTGTGTAAGACCTCAAAAACTCTCTAGTCTTTATCAAGGACAAATTTAATTAAGGGCATTAATGAAAGTAAAATGTGCTTTCATTTGTCTGAAACTACTGCAATGCAAAATCTCATTGAAAATGGTTTTCAGACACCAGTGTGTGCCAAGACAGGGCATGTAATTTACACTGCTATGGCTGGCAGGACACCGCTTTTCAAATCCGAAAGCCACAAGTAGAATTTATCTTTGAATCTTTTCATGTGAAGTTTTCACAGCAGCACACCTTCAGATCTGTTGCCTGCGCTGTTTTTTCTCAGTTCGGCCAAAGCATGCCAAATGTATCTACAGAGGAACCCCGTTATGCTCTAGGACGAAGCCCTCAGTTTTCAGTGCCAGGAATCCACAGGTGCACACACGTCAGTGAACCCAGTGCAGAATAGACTCCATCAAAAATACAGTATGCCCCCAGTCATGAAAGACTGTTGAGTAATTCCATTATGGGAATTAGCCACTTGTGTGCTGGTTTTGTTTGTCATATTGTTGTTTTAGTTATTTAGAAACATGACAGTGCTGCAGGTCAGACTGCAGCTCTCTATGTCTCTGCTGTTGTTTGAAGATCAACATGACAGTGAAATTAGGGTTTTATGGAAGTAACAAGGGGAGTTAACACAGCCCATGAGACAAAGATTACATCAGCAACAGATATTTCTCTCTGTACTGAGAATATGATTTAGCCTAATGGGCTTAACTAATGGTTCTTTACTATTGAGCTACTATTGAGCTACAGATACTATTCTTTACTATTGAGAAGTATCATATACAGTAAATAGCAGCTCGATGAAGTCACTGTGTTTGTTGTGTTCTAACAACAGATATGTATTAAAACCACACTTTTATTAACGAAATATATAATTATAACGTAAAGAGCAGACCTTGCTATGATATTAGTAGGTCTTCAAGCTAATTTTTTGTATGTATCGATTCAAGATATACAGTACAGTAAGCATACTGTATAGATATGCTGCCTGGAATAATATACACACCCTGTGTACACATTCTACTACATCTGATGCACCTCACAGATCTATAAGAATACAACTCAGCTTTTTCCTTTTTATCTCAAAATAATGAGAAGTATTCCTTTCAAAACTAGAAGCATGGGATGAGTTACTTGTTCACTGGGCAATTTGAGAAGCTTAAAGAGGCTGTAATTAAGAAAACACACTTCAGAATCTGTTCTGAAGGTCAGAAAATAAACCATATGCAATTTCTAATGGATTCACAGACATGGTAATGAGTCATAGATTTCTTGAACATTACTTAAAAAGAAAACCTTCCTCCATGTGGAATTGTACACATGGTTACATCTGGCATTCACTCATCTGAATCCTCTTTATTTCTGAATCTCCACAGGAAGACCACTACCCAGATACCCTGTGTTAGGTTGCTGCTAAGACAAATGCTCGTACTCACAGAGCCCATACACAGAAGTAGGCCAGAAACAAAAGAGAGTGTGAGCTATAACTTTTTATACATTCAGTAATACCGCATTTTAAAACTTGAAAACTGAAGTTAAGTAAATAAATAGATTTTATGAGATACTGATTATCTGATAGAATTGTGAAGTTCTTAGTTCCAACCTATATAGTATAAGGAGACTAACAGCACTTAAAGTGTTTATCCAGGGATCAGGGTTTTGGATTTGTAAGTGGATTCAAATGCCAGGTGAGACACTGCTGTTGTATCCTTGAGCAAGGTGCTTCACCTGAATTGCTCCATTAAGATACCCAGCTGGACACATGGGTGCTCATGTAAGTTGCTTTGGATAACAGTGTCAGTCAATTAAAATGGCAAAAAACAATAAGAATGCTATTCACAACGTGCCTCTGAAAAGGGAGCCCCTTTAAATTTGTTTTTTCCCTATTTTAGAACTGGTGAAAAAAGCTTCCTAGTTTTTGGAAATTAAAAGAAAAATTCAGGTAATTTGAAAGCATACTTTTGGTGGGGTTTGTTTCAAATATCCACAGGTTTTATATAATTGTCTCTCAACATGTTTGAACTAAAGTTTTGTTCAAGGTGGCTGAGAATATCTCAAGATTTCCTCTTGCATGATTGTAATGAGGCTGAATAAAACTTTGCCAAAATACTGGCAAACAGAAACTGTCTGTAAGACCGAAACAGAAACTGTCTGTAAGAAATGGAAGCTCATGAAATAGGACACAGACCAGTTCAAAGGACAACACTCATTGAACAGGAGTAGTCAGAAAACAGCCGCATATTTAAAAAACATTAATAAAACAGGAAAGTGAGTCTTGATTCGATGGTTCTTAGATTGATTTTTTGATGATGTCCTGTGAAAAAAAAAAACATTTTTCTTGTTTCTTTCGGCTGTGACTGAATAAGGCTTACAGTGAAGAATTAATTTAGCATTCCTGAAATTGAACAAGCACACAATAAATTGAAAAATGAAATGTGGTACAACTCCACAGAGACAAAAACCATCTTTAATACCGAGACTCAGAGAGTAATTTTGAGAATTTGCCTCTCGGAAGACAGAATCAAGTCAATGAAAACAAACAGCTTACTATGGGCCAGATCAGAAATCACTCCCTATTGATTTAGCCATCAAGCTCGAGGTGCTAATGAGGTGGAATTATATGGAAATACTATCACATACCAACTTGGACAGACAAACAAATGACATATTGATGTTAAAACAACATTTTGTGATGTTACGATTTAATATTAATAGAACACCAGTATGACCGAGCATCTTTAATCTGGAAACACAAACAACCTGATGCACGTTTGAAAAGGGCTGATAAAGGCCTGCACATCCCCAATACAATACTACCATAATATTACTTAGAAGGCCGCAGTTAAATGAGTAACTAAAATGTCAAACACCCTCTCTTACAGTATTAGCTTACAAGATATTTGGTTTAATTAAGGCAAGTCAGCAAGCAATCAATAGCAGCCTGCTCTCCGCCCATGTGGACAGTATTGCAACGCAGGCGCTATTGATTTCTTCAGAAAGCTGTTCAAGGCCTGAACGAAACAATCGCATCCACAGGGGCCCCACGCACATCTTCCCTCCATGTTCCCACACTCCCAGACTCAGCGCAGAGGAGATCCCTCTCGCCTTCTGCCGGGGAATCAACAGAGGAAGACCTCTGTGACTATACCACCGACCGACACTTAAAGAGCTCACTTCGTGCTGACTCTCGGAGTGACTCCGACAGAGCTCCACTTGCATGCAGGAAAAGTTCTCTGCTCTTTCCCTCCAATTCTGGGGCAGAACACACACAAGCGAAAACAGTTTGCAGAGAGTACAGCAGCTTCACAATTTTCAGAAAGTGTAGAAAGTAACTTCACCATCTCTCATGAGGTTTTAAGAAAGAATTGCACAGAAGATTTTTAGCAGAAAGCCTGTAAAAAAATAACGCACGCTTGGATGCACACGAAAATAATTACCCCCCCCCCCCAAAAAAAAACACTTTTCGTAAAAGTTAGAAAATGACAGAGCCTAAACTCTGTGAAAAGACCAAAGATGAGTTTCTAGCTTGAAGTCCTTAAGTGAGAGTTAACTTCAGGCAACAGCATGTGTAAAGAACAAATAGTCAGAGACCTGTCGCCTCCGCTTCTCAAAGCCTTGTCCTCTACTGCAAATCAAAACACCTGTTACGCCCTCCCTAGCATGAGAAGAAGACAGAAATTTACCTGAACATGTACCATACTCCAGATAAGCCATATATAAAGAACAATCCAATTTCGGCCACTTTATGCACAGCACTCTTTCATGCACAGCTCCTTATAAAAGGAATTCTTGTCCTCATTAGAGGAACTGCAAGCCCAGCAGTGACTGCCTTCAAGCAGCAGAGAATAAGAGTTCAGCCAGGCACAA